CCTCGTGGACGCGGCGTCTCTCCGGCACGGCGCGCGCAGGGTATCGCCGCCGCGGACGCGTGCGCGCTAGAGGCGCGCCGAGCTGCAGCGAGTTCCGAGAGCGCCCGCGAGAGGGCACCAGCGCCTGCCACCGCCCGGACCCGACTGAGGCGACGACCGCGCGGCGGCGGGCGGTAGGGTTGCCGCCTCGCCGCACGGGTTGGGAGGCGGGGCGGCAGGCGGCGCCACCCAGCGGCGGGCCGGCGAACTAGCGCGCTTCGGACGGCCGCCGCGAGAGGGCGCCCCGCCCGGCCAGCCGGCTGGGGCTTGCAAGCGACTGGTGTCCACTAAATTACTGTTTTACGATAATTGTCGCATCACCTCAACAGGTAGGTCCTAGAGCCGCGTGCCGGCCACGCGAGGGCGCTCTCCACGCTCGATGCGCAGACGGCAGCGGAACGGGCGCCGAAACGACCCCGCCAACGCAGATGAGGCAGGGACTCGCAGTCCCCCTTCCCGACGACGGCCCTTTTAGCCCACCGAGCTCCAAACGGAGGCGCGACAAGTACCCACTCGCCTGCCTTGCCCCCCGCACTCACACACTCACACCTCGACTCACGCACGCGCACTCACACACTCTGATCGTGCGTCGTGATTCCGTCCACGCAATCGCTTGTCACGTTAAGTGTCCGCGCGGCGCATGACTTATAAACACTCCGCCCTGTCCACTGCCCTTTACGAAACCTTAAAAAGCTTTCTGGAAACAAAAAAAAAAGTCCTCGCACCACAGAAAAAAAAAATCGAAAAAAGGGTGTGCTTCGCCGTGTGTGTTAATTGTTTTCGCTGAATAAGATAATGAGGGACATAAAAATATCTGATACTCCAGGTGTCTCGCCGGCATGAGCGGCCCGCGAGGACCGCGTGGAATGGCGGGCGGTATGACGACGCAGCCCCAAAACGTTTCGCACTCACCAATTAAAAGGCCCATAGCGTCCAGACTTTTAATTAGATAGGCCGTAACGGTAGCGGGGACCGGTGCCACCCGGGGACGTCGAACAGTCCAGCTGGTGGCCGTCCAGGCCGTCCAGGCTGTCCCCGCGGCCAGCAGCAGGTTCCTCCATCACCTGCCCAATTAAAGTGCCTGGAAATAGGAGATCCCACGACCAGATCGCCCCTCGTCTATGTTTTTGGAACAACGGTGCGATTCTAGTCCATGTCACACAATCGGTCTCGCCGATCGGCGGGAAATTATTGCGGCGGGAACGCCCCTGGCCGCGCGCGTGGCTGAGACTGGCTGCCGCGGTGACACGCTAATCGCACGCGAGCCGCCAATAACGTCAACAACTTCATTCCAGCGCAGCGCCAGGAAAAATGAGGGAATTTCAGTTCCATTTCCGCCGCGGGTTGCGCGGCAAGGGGTATCGCCGGAAGGGCGCTACCCCGGTCCCTGGCACGGAGGGTGTATGTACGCTGGAGCAAGCACACCAGGCGCTGCGGACCCAGAACCCTCAATTCTTCTGAGGCACTGGTGAGCTCACTGCGCTTTCGATGCTGACATGACGGCCCCTGCTGACTCCAAGTCACCCCACGAGTGCGAGAGAGACAGCGTGACGAGAGCGGTGTTCGGAATCAGCCTGCTGGAACCTCGTGCCGGAGTGCCTGCTCGCCTTATAATATACTTCCATTAGCGCCGCAAACTTTGCGTCCCCGAGGTGGGCGGCGCACGGCGGCGCGGCCGGCCCCGCCCCGCCGCGGTCCTCCGGGATCACACAAGACTTGCATTGCGTACCCTGCCAGTGACACTGCGCGCGTCGCTCCCCGTCCTGGAGGCCGACGGACGGGGCGGAGCGGGCGGAGCAGCAGCCGTCATGTTCACACTTAATAAATATCGCGACAAAAAGTTGCACCGCGCCACCGTAACATAATTTAGGGAGGAGTTTATTTCACTCGACGCGCTGCTCGCGCCTCCGCCGCGCCGCGCCACGCCCACCGAACACGCCGCCGGCACCGCCAATGCGTCTTGGTGGCGGCGTGGCGGCGGGGCGGCCCGCCCGCTCGAGATTCCTTCCGGTTCATCTGGCGGCGGTGGCGGCACGCCGGCGATGCATTGCGTCTGCAGACCGGTGTCTGCAGGCTTACTCCGAAAAAGAGCCTTCGTCGCCCCGTCTCCCTCGCACCCGTGGGGCATTCCGTATAGCGGGGCGAGAGAGACCGCGCGACAAGCAGCACTACTCGGAATCAGCCGCCTAGGGGCAGTAGTTTGTTGGCGCGCCGCGGCCTTGCCCTGCCTCGGCCCGCCTTGGCCGGCATTACAAGTTAAAGCTCCGTGGCTGGCCGCGAATTGCTCACGAATGCCCCGTGAGCTTCCCCGGACCTTCCCCCGGCACCTTCATCACGGCCGCGGGGCGCCGAGTCCGGCCGCATTTACATTTACATCTGCGTCCTCTAAGCCTATACAGGCGGAGAAGCGGGCCCCAACTTTTCTTTCCACTCTGCATTTCGCTGCCCTAACCCTCCCCGGGCTGGGCCCTGACTGGGCCGGCCAGGGCCCTGCCCCCGCGGGCTGCAGGGCGCGGCGGGGCCGCCTCTTTAATTTATGTGCGTCGCCAAAGTAACGCCGCCTTAATACGGCCAGCCACCCTGCTCTGCGTCGTCGGCGTCGTCCTCGGCGTCGTCCTCAGCGTCGTCCTCGACGTCGTCCTCGGCGTTGTCCTCGGCGTCCTCCTCGCAGCGTCATCCTCGACCGCCGTGACGCGCAACATGTAGGCGTCCAATGCCGCCGCTGGGGTGCTCATGTGTTTATCACGTCGTTGGGCCCTAATTGGGGGCTCCAGCAGAAGCGGTGGCGAAGAAGCGGGGCGGGAGGGGAGTGGGGAGCTCTAAATCACGGCATCCCCACCAATTTGCACGCGTGCGTCGCATAATACGCGGCCCACCTAGCGTCACGTGTCCCGGCGATAATATGACGCCGCGTTTACAGGACAGCCACGTCGTTACTTTATATCAATCGCGTCGCAGGAACAGAACAGCGAGTCTTTCGTGGGCAATTGCGCTGGTGTGCGACGACGCGGCCCGGAGGCTTTGGCGTTCGCGAAGAAGGGGCGCTGCGAAGACGCGACGCAAACGGCTGCAACTACAAGAAGTCGTGAACATGGCTGTGGCTGGGCGCCGCTCGGGGCGGCCGGCCGGGCGACCACTGCGCACCACTGCGGCCGGCGTGCCGCGGCGGCAGCCCGTCCAACTTGGCCAACACGCTAGGCACGCTAGGCCACCATAAGGCGGGGCGCCATGACTTGTGGCCGAGCTGGAGAGGTTCCGGGCCAGCCTTTCGCTGGCCGCGCTGGCCGCGCTAGCCGCAGGACGTAAGTTGCTCCCCGGCCGTTGTCGAGTTCGCAGCGCGTTCCCGCATGTCCGCCCGGATTAGACTTGAAAACTGCAGTCCGTCTAACCAAGGCCTTGCTTACACCGTCCGCCCGGACTAAACGAGCCGCACACATAAGAATCGGCGAGCATCACGACACAAAGCAAACTTGAAAACAAGAAAAGTGTCTCCCTGCGCTGCGAAAACTCGGAGTCACACTTATGGCAAAATAGAAGATGACATCATTTTAAAATGATGACTATTTTTCGTCAGGGGGGCAGCTCATACAATGTCTTCAAATGGTCATCAAATATGTGCACCTTGTCCGCCAGGAGAAAAATTCATTCGGAGAAATTGGAGGTCCAGTGGTAATTTGGGGTTGTCCGCGGGCGCCTCGACACGCCGGCATAGGAATGCTGGCCATGCTGGCGGCGTTGCAGGAAGGAGATGGTTCTGGCCCTTCTGGCCCTTCTGGCCCTTCGCCTTGGGCTGCGGCGGGGAGGCCGCCGAGGCCGCCGCGAACATCTGAAGCGGCCATTATGAGGTGGCGCTGGTTACGCCATCAAAGAAACGAGGGGAGGGAGCCTCCGCCAGGGCTGAGGGCTGAGCAGGGCCGGGCCCTTGGCCGGGCCGCTCCTGTCAGGACGAGAACAAGGAAGCTCTCCGCGTCCAAAGGGAGTCCCTGCGGTTTAATTAAGTCTCCGCCTCCCCCGCGCGAGGCTAGCCCAGCCAGGCCAGCCAAGGACCGGGAAAATGCATTTTGTGGTCGCAGAGGGAGGCGTGGGCCGCATACCCCTGCAGACAGACTTTCGCTCTCGCGTGGACCGTGCTGATCGTCGTTGAGGCCGTGAAGAAGCATGGAGTGCCCGCGGCGCCCCCCGCCCAGGAACCCCGGCTGAACCTCCGTCGGTGCACCTGCCGAGCAGCGGTAGCTGTGCCCCGGTCCGGTAGCCCCGTGGGCCCTGTTCGAGGCTGGCCCGGCACCCCGGTTGGTCGCCGCCTCGCCGTCGTGCAGACGTTGATGCAAAGTCTGATCATGGTCTGATGGGGAGTGCCACGCCGGGTGCGTGTTCCCCAAGCCGCACATGGCTGCAGCGGGGACGCTGGGACGCATGGCACGCCGCCGCCGACGTCACCGCGCGCTGCCAAGCAGCCACGCAGCCCGGCCACGCAGCCCGGCCCCATGCCGGCGTCGCGCCGAGCCGAGCAGCGACGCCGAGCCGAGCCGAAGCGCGCGCTGCCGAGCCGAGACGCCCGCGGCGGCGGCCGAAGCGAGCCGAGCGGCGCGCCGGCCCGGCCCGAAGCGAGCCGAAGCCAGCCGAAGCGGAGGGGGAGGGGGGAAGCCGGTCCCGCCACCCACTGGTCGTCCTTCTTTTCTTGCTCGTTCAATAACTCTGCATCCTGCCGGCTGGCGGTCGTTCCTCATTGGTCGGCTCGCGCCACGTGACCACCATCAATCATGGCCGCCATCCCGCGCCGCCCCGCGCCTCGCTCCGTCTCTCTCGGCCGCGCGCGCCGCCCCATGCCTCTTTCTCTCTCTGGCTCTGAACGCCTCTGCCCTCGCCGGAGAGGACTTGCCGATGCGGTGTCGCGCAGACTCCCGCCGTGTCGCGGCGGTGTAATTAGAACAAAGTGGCGCGGGTAAAGGGGAGCCAAAAACCTACATCGGAATTTTCTGGGAACAAATTTCAGGAAGCTTGTACATTTTTGCAATCTGATGACAATAAATATACCATGGCATTACAATTGGGAATCTTTAATATTGACTGTTAACAAATGATCGATTTCCGATCCAACCTGATTTCCAAATTTTCTGTCTCCATTTCTGTCATGATCAAGACGGCTAGTGAAATGGAGTGCTGCAAGAGAAAGCCAACGAGAGATAAATGAATGGTCGGACAAGGGCGGACAGATAGGACCCCTCCTCGCGCGCTCTGTGCCGTTCGGCCGCGGCACTGCGCAGCTCATCGTGTTATTCGGGGCATTTGTCGCGTCTTTCCAACTCCATTTCATTCCATTCTCCGTCTCTCCCTTTATTTATGACTGCGTGGCTATAGCCTCTGTGGACCCCCGCGGCTTCTTGCCCCGGCCCCTCCGCGCGCCCGGCGCCCAAATTCCTGCAAGGGCAAAGCAGCATGCACGGAATGAGGGGTACAGTCACGTCCACCAGCGCCTTTCGTGTCCGCGCCAAGGGCGGCCCAGCCGCGCCACGCCGTCATCGCCTTTTTGCGCGGACTGTACGCGCGTCCAGCGTTCATGACCGAGCCCCCGGAAGGCAGGCGACAAAAAAGTGTCGGAATTGCGGTCCGGGGTCCGGAGTCCGGAGCCCGGCCGGCCCGCCATACCCCCGGCGTGAGGTGGCCGCTCCTCCCCGCGCCGCCGCGCCGTGCTGCACCCTGGAGGCGGAGGGCGGAACTAGCCGCGCCGTCGGGGACGGTCGGGGAGGCTGCAGCCGCGCGGCCGGGCCTGCCTGCACTACGGGGCACGCTTTTTCGGAAACGGACTCTGTCTCGCCCCTCGCCCCCACGGCCCCACGCATTCACAAGGCCGGCATAGTCCGTTTCCGAACTCGGCGCCCCGCTATTTACTGCGCCTGCCCGCCACCATTGATTTAGGGCCCGGCCGAGGGAGGGGGAGTTGGCTGCTGCATGGCGCACCGCACCGGGGCACGCCGGGGCACGCCGGGGCACCGAGGGGTCAAAGGGGGTAGTTTCTTCCACTCACCACCACGTCGTGGAATCATCTGGGGCTTACCTGGAACAGAGGAAACACATTCTGAGGTCAGGGTTTTGAAAATCATCAAAACTCGGGGTTAAGAAATAAAAAAAGAAAAACTTTAAGAAGAAAAACAGTTGCACTGAAGGTTCACTTGTGAACAAAAATTGTTGTAAAGGTTGTTGTTTCTCTCCAGGGTCCGGCCACATTAATTACGGCCAGTCCCCCGCCGCGTTTCTGATCAGTGAGCCGGCCACGCCGTGCCACGCCACGCCTACTCGCCGGTCCGCCGCTTCGGGCGCTGGCATGGGCGCTGGGGTGGCGGTGTTGATGCGATAAAAACCAACACGAGAGGCCTGCACGTTGGACCAGAACAAAGTTGAGGCGGGCCGAGTGAGCAGCCCGTCTACGAGGACCGTGACTGGCTCCCGGACGGCTCCCGGACGGCGACGTGACCGATGGGGGCCTAACAGTGTAACAGCCGCCATCGATTTGTCGTTAAGATCGCCTCCTCGTACTTGCAAAGTGCGCCGCCTCGCCCGCCGCCCCGTCCGCCACCTTTGGCTTTGGCCTAATGCACGGCCGTTCCAATTTGCATAAGCCGCTTTACGGACGGCCCCGGGCAAGAGGAACAGCTGAGTCGTGGCGGCAGCTGCGCGGTGCTGCGCGGCCCGCCACTGCCGGGGCAGAAAGAGTGAAACAAAAGGGAAACAAAGTGAACCATGTTTGGGGTCGGTGTTGAGTTCAGACGACGCCAAGGCATTTGCGGCCCAAGCAGGCCGAACGCGCCGGACCAACACACTCGATTGTGTGATGGAAGCGGCAAGCTGGAGCTGAATTCCGCCACCAAGGAAGGGATAGGAAACTCGCAAACATCTCCGCGCGAGATTAAAGTGTCATGCTGTCTGGCGAACAAACATTAATTGATGTAGTACTCGACGAACTGGCCCATATCTGCCTCCAGCAGGGAACGGAAAAAAGAGCTGCTCCTCGCCGGACTGTTTATGGGACGTACCGGGCAATAAACAGCCGTGAATAAACTTGCGTGTCGAAGGCAACTGCCCGGTATCGAATGACGATTTCATTTCATTTCGACTTTTGTTTTCGCTTGCTTTCATTACCGCGATGCCCGCTGTGACTAACGACCTCGAGGGTCCCGGGTTCGATCCCTCGACTCCTCGAAACCGAAAGCAAGGACACGATTTGGGCGCCGGCGGCGTTGCCGGACTGCCGGCTGCCGTCGCCCGCAGCGGCCCGGGGACCTGTTCACGCAGACACAACCAGCACTTTCGGTGCTCTGAAGTTCTCGAAAGGGGGACTCGAATAATAGAGTACCGTTCGATTTCTCGGTTAAGGGCAGTCGATTGGCACCGTCATAAGTTTGATTCGATTTCTTCTCAACTTTCGAGTTCAAAAACGTGTCTGGCTGTGCCTAGGGCTTCACCCGGCCGCCGGGTGGATTGCACTTTGATTGATTCATAGTCTCGCCGCCAGGCCGCGCGTCGGACGCGGTGGAGCGGCGGAGGTGCAGTACAGCACGTAGTAGGTGAGGGGCGTAATTTTATGGCTATATTAGAGCGGCCCACCGCCGTGAGACGGCCATCTGGCTTCGAAGGGCCTCGTAGCCGGCACTCGCCTAGCGGTAGCCCTAGCGGTAGCTCTAGCGGTAGCGGCCCTAGACTCACCGCGGCTCAAAATGGACGAAAACCCTTTCGAGGACCCTTTAGGGAAACCCATCTCCACTTCACCGTCGCAGTGGCAGAAGGAACAGCCGGCAGGAAGGCATCAATGGAAGATCCGCGCGAAACTCTCGGCAACAAACGAATGAATGAGATAATTACAAACTCATTCCGCGCCGGCAAAAAGGAGGAGAGGCGCGCGCGTCAAAGAGGTCATCAAAACGAAATAAGAGAGGCGCCGGCGCGAGGGAGAGCGAGAGAGACGGAGCGAGGGCCGACCCTCGCCGCCGCGCGCGGAAGGAGGGTGTGAGTGAGACAGTCTGAATGGACAATAACTGTCCTCGTCGTGTCGTTAGCTCATAAAGTGTCCCGCAGTGTGCTCAGCACTGACCTACCCCGGCCGTTCTGCACACAGTGGGCCTTCAGGCCGCCGCTCCGCCGTCACGCCCTCCCACCTTGCGAGTTCCTTGCCCGTTTTACGTTTGCTCTGAATGGGCGGCCCCTGACCCAGTCAACGGGCCGCCAGCTGGACTGCCATTGCACCCCAGACGCGCCCGATTCTTTTTATATAAAATCAGTGAAAAAAAAACTTACTACAAAAAATTGTTTCTGGATTTTTATAAACTTTTTTTGAGGAAGTTGTTCGTCACGAAGGTTCTTCCCTTTCCCTCTCGATGAAGGTTATTCTTGCATAAGTCTCCGCGAGGCCGCGGGGGTGGGGCCGGGCAGCCAAAACTCCCCAAATCGTTCGAGCGTTTAGTCCGGGCGATAAAACAGTGAGCACGAGCACTTTGCTTCCGAAAGAATGCTGGAAATCCGCCGCGACGGCCACCGCGGCGTTAAGTGCGGCGGAGGAGAAAAGAAAAGCGACCAGAAGCAGCTTGTTTTCCTAGACGGCCGTAATAGAGGCCGGCGTAAAGTGCAAAGTCGGGGATCTACGAGGGGATCCGGCGGACCAACCAAAACAACGCATAAAAATAGCGAGTAATGGATGTCGGGCGTCGCGACGCCATGACGGACGGCCAGCCGTCGAAGAGGTCCAACGCGGCAGGCTCAGGCTGCCCCAGGCACGCTGGGCGCCTCGCACAGCACGGACGGCAACCCGACACAGCAGTGTAAGGGACAGATTCGAACAAAATCGGCGGCCTTGATTCGAGCTACGCCACTGGTGAACCCTTGCCTCCATGCGCCGCCGAGGCTCCTCCTCTATTTCTGTTCGTCTGGCCTGCCTGCCTGCCTGCCCGCCTGCTGCCCCACCAACCGAGGGGCCCGGCGCGGCTCCGACGGCACGGCTAAGCTGTCTGCCGGGAAAGAAAAATTGGTTGAAACTCAGTTTGACGGTGATTAATGGTAACCACGCCGCGCCACGCCACGGCCGGGCCGACCCCTCGATCCGGTTCTCTAGCCAGCCAATGCGAGGGGAGCCTCCTTGAATAGAGGCTGGATGAGTCAAAGGCACCTCACCGCCCGTGGAGCACAATGCGAGAGGGACTTCTCCACCGCCGCGACGACCACGACGACCACGGCGGAGGCATTTTGGCGACGGTGTTGCTGAGCGGCGACTGCGGCGTGCCGGCGGTGGCTGCGTGGGACCCAAGCGGCGGCCCGGCCGTCCGAACCGGCAGAACCAGTAGGCAGCCTGCGTCCCGGACAAGCTCCAGGAGCCCCGGATTCTCCAGAGGACCTCCAGGAACGCGAACGCCAACGCCGGCCCGAGTCATCACGACCTTGCGTGCGAGCGCCCAAAGCGGGCCTTGCTGCTTCCTCCAAAAAAAGGAACGACATTTTTGTGAATAAGAAAATTTCTTTTGCGGTCCCTTTTTTCAGCGCGAAAATTGCAAAGACGGGGCTAGATGAGGACTGAAATACTGTGCCGCCGAAGCCGTTTCTTTGGCATGGATGCTTCTCCACCGCCGCGCGCGCCGCGCACCGACACAGCAGGTGTGTGCGCGGACCGCGCGAGGGAGCTTTATTTCGCCAGGCCGCGCCGCTCGCGCCGCTGTGACGCAGAAAAAAAGAGAATCCCCCCCCACAGCACGCTCCGCCGTGTTCCGTCGCTGCAGCGCGCCTCAGAGTTTCCTGCGCCGCCCGAAATATTTTCCACCGCCGCCAGTAAGGCCCCTTTGCGCTTTCCAGCCCAGTATGCGGAAGAAGAACTTACAATAAATCGCGCCGCCAGGCCGCCACTGCTGACTGCATGCCACTCGCTTTGTCGCGGGGGGGGGGGGGGTCTCTGCAGATTGGTAGGCAGCCCGCAAAGCAGCACACACACACACACACACACACACGCACACAGTGGTCCGTGCTGATACAGACGAGCAAAAAGCGGCGCGCGGCGGGTGTGCGATGAATCGGTGCGGAATAAAATATGACTGGGAGAATGAAATGTGCGCAATTTTCACGGGAAAAAGGATTGGGCGGGCCGGCCGGAAGCGCTGAGGGTGCACCGAAGTGTCCACCGCGCT